ATACTGGTGGCTTTACAGCCTACATTTGATTCATTATCTCTGATCCCCATGGCCACTGATGCTAGGTGGCGCCAAGCTAAAACAAAAAACAAATCCTATCTGTTGCCTCTTTAAGTTTGTCCCAGGCTCTCTTAAGTTTGTCATGGCACACACACTAAAATCCGCAGTGGTACATCCAGTGAACTATTTGTGTTCTGGCTGAAACCACCAAAACCTGAGTCCAGGAACTAACCCTCCTCATATTCTCCAGAAACTGAATCCGTATGTGTAATGTGACTCTGTGAACTTTCCTCTTAAATCACTGCCAGGCCAAAGTTTCTGCTCGTGAAGAAGAAACCTTTGTTTTATTCCAGTTTTATTTGAATCATGTCATTGTTTTGTCGTTATTTCAAATGGTTGTTTTGCATCGGTTTGTTGTTTTGTGTGTCTTTGTGGACATTTTGCTTCTCAAGCCCTGTTTCCACCAAGCAGTCTGGTACGGTTCAGTTCAGTTCATATTTTTTCTCTTTCCACAGTGAAAGTTGTGGATGGTCCCAACAGAAGCGTTCCTTAGCGTCCCCATGTTTGGTCCCCCNAGTTGTGGATGGTCCCAACAGAAGCGTTCCTTAGCGTCCCCATGTTTGGTCCCCCCTCTGTTGGGGTACCTAGCACACAGATCTGGTACTAAAAGGTGGAGCTAGAAACCCTGCAGTCTGATTGGTCAGTAGAGGACGGTCACTCTGGTTTTATGTAACCTCTGTTCATACATCAGTAAACTACAACTATAAAATGAAAGAGAAAAAAATAACTTCATTCACTGGGCCGACTGCCGGCAACTTTTAAGGTTACAATGTGTAATTTACGTGGTTGTTTATTAGCAAATATCAACTATTGCTTTCATAAATATATATTTACTGAAGTGTAATGCAATTCACATACAAATGGAAGCTTTCTCATAGGCTTAGAATGAGTTCTCTATATATACACAGGCAGGGCGCGGTCTGCTGGAGGCTGCCCTCTTGCGTCGCCATATTTGAATACAGTGGCCCAAAGGGATTTACGCGCTTCGCCTTTCGCGTTTACCTAGAACTTTCCGTCACTGGAGACGGTTAAGGTGAAGATGAATCCGGGGCACTTCTGCGTGAACCTGCTTTGTACTTTTATGATTCTGTCGCACTTTAAATGGAGGACCACACATATGTTTTGCCCCGTAAGAGGAAACCACGCCACCAAATAAAAGAAAAAGATCAGATAAGCGAGGACGGGACAAAACACGAGTGAATATCAGCGTTGCTTATTCCAGGTGGAAAGAACTCCTGAAGGAGAAGGATTTCACAAGGGATGTGGAGGTTGCCTGCTTTCTGCTAGACAGGTAATTCAATCTGATATTTTAAAGTCATTTTGGCTTCATGTTTGCAACTACTTTTCCCTCTCGTCTAGGCTACGTTTACGTGCTAACGTTATCCTAGCCTTGGCTAACGTTATCCCAGAGCTACAGCTAAATGGTTAGCCTAGCCTACAGCCTAATCTGTTGATTCCTTTCGTGCTGCTGTCAAGGCTGCCACCCTCTCCTCCTCCTCCTCTTCCCTCTGGGGAGCCGAGACACACCTCTTCGCCTGGCCGTTCCTGCACCGCCTCTACCCCCTCGTCCCCTTCCTCTCCCTGGTCTTCCTCCTCTCCCTCTTCCTCATCTCCCTGTGTCCTGTGGAAGAACACTCTGGAAATGCATATATTATAATCGTACCAACCTATATTTGCCGCACTGTGCCGTGACTATCACATAAAATGTGTTATTTTAGCATTACTGTGCTAATGTTTGCTCATGTTACCAAAACAATTAGAAATAAAACACTCCTAACATCTCACAGATAACCTGTATGTCACTGGTAAGCTATAACATATCGTAACATGGTTTAGATTCCTAAATAAATATTCACCTCGTCGCTAGATACTCCTGAAAAACTCGAAAAACTCTGCTGTCTGCGCAAGGCTTTTTGTCCTACGAGGCCTCCGTCACTTACCCAACGGGAGGGTCGTGAGTGAGCGCTGAAATCTAGAATTTGACCGCTGATGTCACTGTTACTCACCATTTTTACACACTGAGGCTTTAAGGTGGAACGTTAACTTGTAATGTTACTCAATGCATGAGTTGATCCATCAGCACACCTTAAGTTTCACTGTGACAACTTTGACCATCACTTCACTTTTTATTGTGTCTCTTGGATGACACAGACTTTTAGTAATGAGTGGATCTTTGAGAGTTGCAGTTGTTTTTCACCTCTTTATCATTTCAGATCATTTTAGATGTGTAGACAAAACCTAAAGCCCACAGAGAACACTGTGTGGAGGCACCAGCTGAGTATTCATGAGTCCATGTGTTAAATGTCCTTTTATTGTCCTCAGATATTCTCAGTGAATCTGAAGACAGTCCATTTCTCCCATTTTGTGAGGAATACTGCTCCTCAGAGAAGAAGTCATCTTTTCCATTACAAAGATCTCTGTGACTGTGTCCACCCACTGTTTGAGGCTTGCAGGCTCAGATATGTACCTGGTCTTTGTTATCAATTTCTTGCTGGCCAATTAAAAACAATTGTTTTTCTCCAAAATATTAGATTTTTTTTGACACGTCCAAAAAATGTGTGAGTGATTGTCATCCCTGTGTCCGTACTGTCTGCAGCACTGCTGTTGTGTTTGCTCTTCATGTGGAGTGTGACAAAGCCGCAGATCAAGTGTTTCCAGTGAAATTCTCTCCGTCTCTTGGAGCTTGTAGATGAGTGCTGTGTTTTCCACGTTGAAAGCCAATTTAACTTTAATATATTCAGTAGTATTCCCTCTCTCCCTCTGCAGGCCCTCCTATCATCTGAACATGATTTATTCACTGCCCCGTTTATGAGCTTCAGTCAGAATATTTCTGAGTACACTGACTGTAGTCTTCCTCTCATAGTAATCTCTCTGTTTAATCTCTTAAATGTAAATATCTGCACAAATCTGCAGATTCCTTCTGTTCGTCTCCAAAAGCTCTGAATTCATCCCGAGTCAGTGTGTGTCCAGCTGTCATGTCCTTGTCCCAGCACTGTCTCAATCTGACCTCAGTGATTCCCAGAGTGAAGCTGGCGTTTGATGTTTATTCCTGTTTCATGTCCCTTCAACTTATACTCATTCACAGTTTGGAGCCAGATACTCCGGGGTCGTTTTATGTCTTTTTGTGGTCGATTGTGTGTCTTTGTAGTCGGTCTCTCTTTGTAGTCGGTCTCTCTTTGTGGTCGTCCTGTGCATGTTTTTGGTTGTTTTACGTCTCTTTGTCGTTTTGATCATTTTGTTATTGTTTTGTGTTTCTTTGTTGGTTTGTGTCTTTGTGGAGATTTTGCATCTGAGTTTGTTTTTGGTTTTTTTGCATCTCTTTGTGGTCATTTTGCGTCTCTTTGTAGTCTGTCTCTCTTTGTTGTTGTTTGCATCTCTTTGTGGTCGGTCTCTCTTTGTGGTTGTTTTGCGTCTCTTTGTAGTCGGTCTCTCTTTGTGGTTGTTATGCGTCTCTTTGTGGTTGTTTTCGTCTCTTTGTAGTCAGTCTCTTTGTGGTTGTTTTGGGTTTATTTGCAGGCATTAATTGTCTCTTTGGTTGTTTTGTGTCTCTGAGGTTGTTTTGAGTCTCTTTGTAGTCGGTCTCTCTTTGTTGTTATTTTGAATCTTTTTGTTGTTGTTTGCATCTCTTTGTGGTCATTTTGCGTCTCTTTGTAGTCTGTCTCTCTTTGTTGTTGTTTGCATCTCTTTGTGGTCGGTCTCTCTTTGTGGTTGTTTTGCGTCTCTTTGTAGTCGGTCTCTCTTTGTGGTTGTTATGCGTCTCTTTGTGGTTGTTTTCGTCTCTTTGTAGTCAGTCTCTTTGTGGTTGTTTTGGGTTTATTTGCAGGCATTAATTGTCTCTTTGGTTGTTTTGTGTCTCTGAGGTTGTTTTGAGTCTCTTTGTAGTCGGTCTCTCTTTGTTGTTATTTTGAATCTTTTTGTTGTTGTTTGCATCTCTTTGTGGTCGGTCTCTCTTTGTGGTTGTTTTGCGTCTCTTTGTGGTTGTTTTGGGTTTATTTGCAGGCATTAATTGTCTCTTTTGGTTGTTTTGAGTCTCTTTGTGGTTGTTTTTGTGTGTTGTGTTGGGTTTCTGTGTAGGTGTTAATCATTTCTTTGTAGTTGTTTTGAATCCCTTTGCGGTCGTTCTGAGCCTCTTGTTGGTCATTCTGAGTGATTTGTGGTGTCTGATCTTTTTGCGTCACTGTGTGGTTGTTTTGCATGTTTTTTTGCAGCTGTTTTGTGTCTCTGAGGCTGTTTCTTGTCTCTTTGTGGTTGTCTTTGTGTTGTTGTGAATCTCTTGTTGCACTGTTTTGTGTTTCTTTCTGGTCGTTTTGTATCACTCTGGTGTTTTTTATTTTCATATCTGTCATCCTGTCATGAAACACAGTTTGAGTTAACTAAACTTAACTTGAGTTACAGCCAGATCACTTTACCTGAGGAAGGCCTTTAGAAGTAACTCTTTAATTCTGTGGTTGTTGCTTATTCCTGTCTCTGTGCACTGGAAAACAATTCGTACTCCTTGCATAAAAACAACTACACAAATAAAATCATTTTATCTTATTTATAACTTGATGTAAGTAAAGTGTCGCAGCCTTTGACCATGTGCTCCTAGTTTAAATATATTTGGACCGTGACCACAGTTCAGATATGAACTCACAGATCGCTGGTGAGTAAAGATGTCTCACTCTGGACCTAAGTGTTGGACAGGTGGATAGACACTGTGTGGACACTTCTGGTAGCGGTACAAAAGTTCACCTGAGTGAAAAGCAGAGTTACAGATTTTAGAATGGACTCAACCAGACATGAAAATCAAACTGAGCTGCAGTAAGTGACCCGTGCAGTACCAGCAGCAGTTACACAAGCAGTAATATTAAATACGTGGGATCCTTCCTACCTGCTGTGTTTCGTATCTGCTCCTCCAGCTGGACGTCTTTTCACTCTCCCCTCTCCTCCTCCTCCCTCAGGACCGAGAGGTGTGGTTTCAGGTGAAGATCCCTCTGTCTCGCAACCTGACCGTCGGCTGTGATCACCAAGGCGACGCTGAAAGGGACCCAGCGTTGGGGTCTGGCTCAGGACGGAACCGCTCCCACGGCCACCCCTGCCCTCCTCGGGTCCCTTTCTACTACTTCCCCATCGACCACCAGCAGCCGCAGCGGCCCTGCGGCTAACAGCCACAGCAGCTCGCTGTTTATCCTCTTCAATGATTGTGTGTGGGATTAATAGCAGTTAATAACAGATGTGAATACAGAATGTCAGACTTTAGAGTTTGTATCTGACACCTCTGAGGAATCAAACGTGTAACTGAACAGATCAACAAATAAAGAATTAATATGTGAAGGAATTTTCAGAATCATTTTCTTTACCTCCGAGTCATGAAACACATTTTACACTCTGTGCTTCAAATGCTTCATATCCCTAAAATCTGCACAACCTAAGTTAAACGGTTATGTGAGTCTCTAAACCATGATAACTGATAGAAGTATTTAAATTAAGTCATTTAAAAACTGGGCATGTTTTTCATCAGATTTTTACAAAATAAAACAAAAGAAAAAAAGATCCAAAGATTTTTAACTCTAGAAATATAAAGCCAGTATTTCGTAACACTTTATATTTATACCTCTCTGTATTTACTTTCCTATATAATTTCCCTTCCTGTAAAAAAAAAAAAATTTTTTTTTTTTTTAATTAATTTACTGATTTACGTGTTTATTTCCTTTTCATTTCCCCCAATTCACTTCCCCAAACGTAGCAACTAATGTATAGAAATACCAATCTATGTCACAATTTATCAACCAAGTAATGAAGGTATTTATATCTAATATTTTTGGAATATTTAATGACATTTATTTATCTATTATCTATCGCATATTTTAAATTTTTATTTCATTTTTTTTAAAAATTATTCATGTCTTTTACAATGTAATTATTTCTGCATTATTTTTGTAATTCTTCGCATTTTTCTCCATATTCACTGCCCCACGTATTTTTTGTTTCTCTATCATTTTTTTTAATAAATTAATTTAAAAATAAATAAAAAGCATTTGAAAATATATCTTTAAAAAATATTACAAAATAAAAAAAAAAAAAATTCAAAAAAGCTTTATGAAAAATAAATAAAAAAAGGGAAAATTAAATAGGAAAGCAAATCAATTATATAAAAATATATATCAATTTAAGTCGCATTTTATCAGTTAATTAATGGCAACACATATTGGCCTGTTAATTTATCAAGTCATTTATTCATGTATTTATTGTTGCAGTGTCTGTCCTCCATAAAGAACTGTTAACACTCGTCACCAGTCGACATGCTGCAAAAATCCACTTGGAGACAAACACATCAACTGATTCACAGTTTATTGACATGTTACATTTTTTACCCTCATCCACCAAGAAAAAAACAAAAATTACTGACAAAACATTGAGAAAACACTAAAAATGGATTGAGACCACTAATAAGAATAACTAACAGATCATTAAAAAAATAAAACCACCACAGGAGAGACGGAGAGAGAAGAGAGGCTGCTAATGATGGTGTTGGAAAAAAGTCAGATTCACAGAGGGAGAGAAACGTGTTGGTCAGACTGGTTTAACGTCAGAACTCCTCCTGAATGTCATCTGCTGTGTGTGAGTGTGTGTGTGTGTGTGTGTGTGTGTGTGTGAGAGTCCAATTCGTCCGCCTTCGTCTGTGTGTGTGACATACAGCCAACAGTATCCTCATGACTGTGTGTGTCTGTTGTGTTCGAGTGTCTCTCCCTCCCTCCCTCTCTCAGTGCTCCAGGCGTCCCAGGAACCTCAGGTTGAGGATCTTCAGCTGGTCGTCCAGCTCCATGCGGACGATGCCGTCGTCTCCGTCGATGCTCAGCAGGATCCCCGTCGCCTCGCGTTCCTCTCCCAGAATCACCTTCACCTGTGGGAAAAATAAACGTTAACAGCTTTGTGGAGTCGGCTGATATTCCATATGATCAGTTAACTTCAGCTGCATGGTTCGACATCTACATTTAAATTGTGGTTTCAGAAACATAATTACTCCTAAAAGACGACAAGTTACATTTTAAAAAATGTGTTTTAGCTTCCATCAGCTGACCAAAAGTATGTGGACGCCCTGCCTAATAATAATAATAATAAAGATGTGAGACACAGTAATGTCATAATTAATCTGAGAGGACAAACAAGCCTGACGTGTTCATGAGCTGTGCTAACGCAGGGCGACGTGGTGACGATGGCAGTGACTGTCACAGTTACCTTGTTGTTCTTGGTGGGAGTGACGGGCTCCAGGTGGTCGCTGCTGATACTGACCACCTTCTCCGACTCCTGCATGAACACTGAACACATCCCTCCCTGCAGACACACAGAGGACAAACTCTTTAACATGAAACCTGAACACACAGAAGATCACAGTGACCTTTGACCAAAACTAATCAGTTCATTGTTGAGTCCCAGTGGACATTTGTGCCAAATTTGAGGAAATTCCTGTGTGGCATTCCTAAGTTGTCGTATTCACAAGGATGGGACTGACAGACAACCTGAACACCTGAACCTGTAATGCCTGCAGCCATATTGTCGCCGATGCAGAGGCATAAAATCTTCATGGATGAGGACTCTGTTCTCAGAGAAAACTGGTCCTGGAAAAATGTCTTCTATTCAAGGCCAATACAATTAACACTGGAGAGACGTGTGGCATAAACTCAACTGATAATATTGGAGCAGTTTTATCAAACACAATAACTGTGTTCATTTAAAGTCAGAAAAAGTGAAGCAGAACCAGATGAACACTATGAGAGACTTTTCATAACTGAGATCTGAGGCTGTCACAAGGCCGAACGCTCGGAGCCAAACCCACAAACACGTTCATGTTTCCAATCATCACCTCGCTGCAGCTGCTTTCATCTTCTGACACTTCATTACAACTCAAACTCAAAAACCAGTCTGAGACTCAAAAGCCTTCCAGGATATGAACTTAATCTGATCTTTAAATCTTAAAATCAACATATTACTTAAACGCTTATCAGGCTTCTTATGAGCCTCCCCAAAAAAAATCATTTCAGTCCTGCTGCCTCCAAAACCCAGCTGACAAAACCTTTCAGTGACACAAGGAGCCACGTTTACAAAAAAGCACTGCCTGCAACTGTTAAAGGGTTAGTTCACCCGAATATTTTTCACCCTCTCGTCTCACTTCCCTCTGGGGTCGAGGTCTTCAGACTGTATGGAGGGCGAGGGATTCACACAACATGCGGTGTGAGGTGAAAGGGACCCAAACAGGTCATGGAGGCTGCTGAGGTGCTTTAAAACACTTAGCGATTACAATTAGCATCAATAATTATCTTCACAGCTCTGTTGAAACCTGAAGACACACACGATACAAGTTTTTAGATTCAGTGTGACGTACACTTCCCGACGACAGGGGCCGGTTGCACAAAACATCTTTTCCTTTAGATCTGAGTTAAAGTTTCCTTTAAATGAAATCACTCACACAAAACATCCACAAGTCCTCTCATTAAGATTTCCTAAAGTTTTCCTCCTTATCTTGGTCTTATACTTAATGAATACTTTAATCAGTCCTCAACTTTTCGAGGCTGCAACAGGATCTTCCCGATCAGTTGCTGGCGAGGTATTTCATGCACACGGTCAACGGTGTGCCGCATCATTCACTGGCTTTCAAACACCCTCACCTGTCTGCTGAACAACTGTGGTGAAGTTCTCGTCTTAACGTCACAGTTTCCTCTCGTTTGTTGCTTCTAGGGGTGCAATGGTACAGGTAGTCCATGGCGCGGTCCGTACCTCGGTTTTTGGGCCATGGTTTCTGTTTGATTTCGGTATGTGTTTTGTAAGTAAACAATTTTTTCCCCCAAAAAATTATCTATATCTTTATTTTGCTTGACTTTGCACTTGACATGCTGTTGTGTTGTGCTACAGCCTATTCAAGTGCTGGAATTTGTTATTTATGTGATAACGCCTGAACGCAACACAGGCTCCACTCCATGGACTGACTCGGTTATAATTGTTGGTCAGGAAAATGTAGCCTGGGCTGCGCTCTTGTGTGCTCACCTGTGTGTGTGTGTGTGTGTGTGTGTGCGCACGCGCATCGGGGCCGAACTCCGCTGTACGCAACACAGAGAGCAGAGGAGAATTGTAAACGTGCGACCATGTAGAGACAGAAATGACATGCCGTTGTGTAAATAAGAAAATAACATACGGCTATTTAGTTTGTTTAATAAAAGGACAAGGTGCGTATATAGGTGGTGTATAAACACACACATCGCATTTGTCAAACGGTGTGTTTTATTTTGAAATTTGTTTTATTCTGAAAATTGACCGGATGCTGTTGTTGTTCCTTTGTTTGACTTCCTGCCCCGCTTGACACATTCGCTTGCGGCTCGCGCAGAAAATAGACCAGACGCCGAAACGATTGCTGCAGGGTCGACCGCGGAGCTGTGCGGCGCAGCCGGTGTGGATGACACAATCTTCAAGGCTATTCGCAGCGCTTCCGCGTCCAGTGTGGCCCTGCCATGAGGCAAGCGTCACTTTCCCCGGCTGTGAGGGTGTGAGTGGGCGGAGCAACAACAGTGATTGGACATTAACTTGCGGGGAGGGCTTTTGTGCAGCAGGCTGACTCGGCCGTTCTCTTTATACATCCATGGCCTCGGCCTGTGGACAGGCGCACACACACACACACACACACACACACACAGTGGCCTGTAAAGCATCAATGCAAAAGTAGTTGCACAACGGAAAACCCGCAGTCCATAAGGGCGTATTGATCCGTGCAGGGCGGACCGAACAGTTTTACAGAGGACCGTTACATCCGTAGTTGCTTCATGTTTGCCCTTATTATCAGATCAATACTTTTTTCAGTTTGTTCTTTCTTTTTCATGTCCTTGAATCTTCGGCCATTTTTTTACTATCTGGCAAACTTTGTGAGAGGATGCTTTGATGCAACAAGTAGCTTTTACAAGCAAACACTGAAGCAAACAAATGGTATCCATGGAAACAGTATAATTTACTGCTGTAAAATCTATTTCAGTGCAGTAAAGTCTTTGACATATTTCCCTGACTAAGGAAACCTTTTAGAGATTCTGAGCAACACCCTGAAGTTCTTTCCTCAGCGAAGGAAACAAACTAACAGTGTCATAATTAAGGAGCAAACTTAAGGTGCTTTGTGCAACCGGCCCCTGATGTTTATTACAAATAAACCTTAAACATGATAAAAACATGCAGCAGAACCTGCCTGACAATCCTCATTTTTCGCAGTGTTCTTCAGTGTCACAGTGATCCAGCGTCAGCTGTCTGTACGTCATTGGGTTTGTTGCAAACAGAAGCTGCTCAGAGCTGATTCTACAAACT